TCTCTCTCTCAAATAAATAAATAAAATCTTTAAAAAAATAATAATAATATTTGAGAATTATAGTTCAAACCCACTACCAGGAACTCCACATCTCATTATTGCTAGAGTGACATGCTATTTTAACTATTCCTTGAAACAAGTGGGTCACTGGGACACCTAGCTGGCTCAGTTGGTAGAGCATGCGACTCTTGATCTCGGGGTTTTGAGTTCCAGCCCCATGCTGGGTGGACAGATTACTTTAAAAAGAAAAAAAAAAAAAAAAAGAGGGGTGCCTGGGTGGCTCAGTAGGTTAAGCAAATGACTCTTGATTTTGATTCAGGTCATCGTCTCAGGATCATGGGATCGAGCACCGGGTCGGGCTCTACACTCAGCACAGAATCCACTTGAGATTCTCTCTCTCTTCCTCTGCCCCTCCCCTGCTCACGCTCTCTCTCTAAAGAAATATAATCGAAAGAAAGAGAAAGAAAGTGGGCCACTGACTGCAAGATGGAAATCTTTTTTTTTTTATTTTTAGAAGGGGGGCAGAGAGAGAGAATCTTTTTTTTTTTTAAGATTTTATTTATTTTAGAGAAAGATAAAAAGTGCACAAGAGGGGGAGGGGGAGAGAGAATCCCAAGCAGACTCCCTGCTGAGTGTGGAGCCGTGTGAAATTAAGAGCAAGGAAAAAGAAACTCATTATAAAGAACAAAGGGGTTTAAAAACAGCAAAAACAATTTCTAGAAATAAGAAAACGTAACTGAGGTTAGGAGCATGAGAAAAGTTGACATATGCCCAATTCCTGTTCCATAAGGAGAAAACAGAATGGGGAAGAAACAGTATCCCAAGAAATAATGACTATTCCAACCCAGGATTTTTAAGTGTCAAGTTTAAAAACAAAAATGCATCATAACTCTGTGAAAGTTAAATTTTAAAACATAAACCAGATCATATCAAAAAATATGTGATAAAAAGGGGTGCCTGGCTGCCTCAGTCAGAAGAGCATGTGACTCTTGATCTCCGGGTCATGGGTTCAAGCCCCACATTGGGTATAGAGATTACTAAAAATAAATAAATAAATAAACTTAAAAAATAGTGAAACCAGATCATATCATTTTCCTGCTTCAAAGTCTCAAATGGCTTCCCATCATTCTTTTTTTTTTTTAAAGATTTTTTATTTATTTATTTGAGAGAGAATGAGATAGAGAGAGCATGAGAGTGGGGAGGGTCAGGGGGAGAAGCAGACTCCCTGCTGAGCAGAGAGCCCAATGTGGGACTCGATCCCAGGACTCCAGGATCATGACCTAAGCCGAAGGCAGTCGCTTAACCAACTGAGCCACCCAGGCGCCCGGCTTCCCACCATTCTTAAAATAAAATCCCTACAGGGCTGTCACTAACCTGCCTCCACCCCTCCCCTGACCTCACCTCTACCTCTCCCCTTTGCTCAGCCCATTCCAGCCTCACTGGCTTGCTTGTCCATCATCAGCACTCAGAGCCTCAACACTTGCAGTCTCCTTGTCAGAGGCTCCTTCTGGCATCTGTGCTTGGCTGACTTATCACTCAGGTCCTATTCAAATCACTATCAGGCCTGCATTGCCACATCATCCTAAGTACAATATCCCATCCACCCCCATCCCAGGCACTCTCTAGATTAATCCCCTGCTTTATTTCTTCATGTCACTTAACAGTACCTAAACATGTTCTCTTCTACCTGTGTCCTCTCCAGGATGGAAGCTCCCTTCTCTTTCTTGTATTCTGCTCTATCCCTACAACCTAGAAAGGACCCTGGCACCTGGAAGATGCTCCATACCTATCCACTTAATTATCACACAACTGTGTGTGATAATAATAATGTGTGTTACATAAGTAACAACACCTCAGTGAAGAGAAGCACTCCCCAGTTTTCCCATGCAGGGCCAAGGGCTATGGCTGGTGGCTTTCCATCACTGTCCTTGTTTAGGTCACGCAGGCCTTTTCCTTCTTTCCACCCCACACCTGTCCCAGCTCCACAGCCTTAAGAGACATGTGACTTTTTTTTTTTTTT